ATTTCTTCTTTTGCAGTCAGGTTATGATTGGAAGTGCACACGTCTGAACTCCAGTCACGCCGCAACATCTCGTATGCCGTCTACGCCAAAAAAAAATAGAAACTAAATGAAGACAATTCATTAGAGAAAAAACCTTAGCTTTAAACAGTTCTGTTGAGAAGTAGAATTTAAAACATGTAATGATCAGTTTGATACAAGAAGAGAGGAGTCTGAGTTAATGCTTAACTTTATTACCTTGGGGATTGAGTAAATAGTGTTCACCTTGGCAGAGGTGGAGCATGTAGGAGGAGTTGCAGGTTTGAAGGGAAAGATCTTTTGTATTTTGAACTGGAAAACTAACTGGTAACCCAAACTCACCTCAGATTAAGTAATAACGTTAGCAAGCAGTTGGAAAGTTGGATTTAAAATTTAGAAGCAAGATCTAAGCTTCAGAAATAACTTTGGGAGACAAGGATATAAATATGACAGGCAAAGCTATGAGGGTCCATGGAACAAGGAGTCAACTAGAGAAACTCTAAGAGCAGTGAAATAGATGTAAGAGGAACCTGGGTAAGTCTTTCTTATAGGTGAATGTATGTAGTTACAATAACAATGCAGACTTAAATGTAAAAAAGAGCACCAAAAGCACTTGGGTTTTAAATTTATTTTCTTTGACAAATTTCAAATGCACCTGAGAATGATTTTTAATACAATTATGATAGAGATTGTGCTAAAACGCTAAAATACTTGTATAAGAATATTTTTATCTTTGCCTGATTAATGGTTTGATTGTTACTTGGTTTGAGTACTTTTTTTAAGCTATTTTTTTATTTTACTTTTTTCTTCATGAATAGACTTGTTGACCTTGAATCTGACCAGTACAAATTTATTATATGGCTCAATAAAAAAAAAAAACTTCAATAAAAATCAGACTTCTTTAACTATACAAGTTTATACCCACCTTATGTTCTTTGTTTACCTAAGGAAATGCAACTTCACCACAAGTACAAAGACCATCTTTCATGGACTACTTTGATAAGCAGGACTTCAAGAATAACAGTCATGAAAACTGTAATCAGAATGTGCATGAGCCCTTCCCTATGTCCAAAAATGTTTTTCCTGATAACTGGAAAGTTCCTCAAGATGGAGACTTTGACTTTGTAAGTACATTTTAATTCTATTTGCATTTTCTCTTTTTGTATTTTATCATCACTTTTTTATAGAGTTCATAAGTATGAACTGTGTATAAAATTTTAGACTGTGTTTATGTTCAATATACAGCCATGTTATGGGTTGGTAAAATACAGTTTGGTTACAAAAATGTATCTGCAGAGAAATATAAATAATTGCTTAGGATTAAATAAATCATAGCTTGTATTTTAGAACTCCTTAAAACTAAAATGACAGCTATTTGAAAAGAGTTACATAATAGCACTATTATAAAATACATCTGGCAGTAAATTTGGCTACCAAAATAACTGATCCAAAGATGTTCATGATACAAACATTGAGAAATTTGCTTCAACTTTGAAAGTTAACTGAATTAGTGTCTACTTAAGTATTATTTCTATTTGGTGTATCTATAAGAACAGTCCTAGATAAGATATAATCTTCAGTGTAACACTGTGCCTTATTGCCTATTTTGTTACATTTTCTCTTGAGCTTTTTTTTGCCCTGCTCATTATTATTTTCTTTAAAGAATGAAAAGAGGATAATTTGTCTGAAAGCAGCTATATCCAGAACTTTATATAAACCAGTTTGGTTTAAATAATAGCTTTAAGTGGTAATTTGTTACTTTTGCATAGTATTCTAAAAGATTTTCTTCCAAATATAATTATGATGTATTCATAAATGCATTATTAATAACTGATATTTTAGATAGGTGTGTATCTTTACAAATTTTAATATTAAGCCACGTTGCTAAGACACCACGATGCTTAGTGCTTTGAGACTGTATCTTTAAGTGCTTTCTTCTAAATTTTGATAGTCAGATAATAAAAATTTTTTAAAAATCTATCCTTTACAAATTCATCACTAATTGCTGGCACATGTCAATGGTATGATTTACAAATTGGCCTGAAAGCATTAACTGTAAATCTATTAATCCCTTTTCAATAGCAAAGTAAGAAATTATAAAAACAAAATCTCTTTTTTAGTTCTAGCAAAGTACCATTGTAAGCTATCGGCTTTTTAAAAATTATAAATTATTTAGGATACTGACATTCAAACTTTAAATCATTCATGACTGATGAATAATGTAGCATATTTAGCATTAAAGAACTCTGTCTTGTCTCAGTTGGAATAAATCTTAATGGCGTCTGGGAAATGGTTTGAAATAAGTGAACTACAAGTAATGAATAAATTATTATATTTAAGAAATACTAAATAAAATTATTTAATTCTCTTTCAGTTAGTCTTTGCTATCACCACAAACTTAATGGTTTTTTTAAAATAATGATTTTATTTGTTCACCATTTTGGACAATAATAATGTAATTTGGCCAGGCTCAGCTAACTAGTTCTGCTGGTCTCACCTGGGGATTTTCAAGTGACTGCAGTCACCTGACAGCCCCACTAAAACAGTTGAATAGTCTTTCTGAAATTCTTGCTCATGTTTCTGGCAGCTGTGCTGAGTGTTGGCCAGGCTGTGTGGTCTCATGAGGCAAGCCTAAGGTTTCTGTGTGGTGGGAGTAGCTTTCCAAGCATGCAAAAACAGAAACTGGAGGCTCCTTGGCCTCAGTTTAGAATTCACTGAGTCTATCTGAACACTGTCCAGAAGCATCAGATAGAATGAAATACCTCAGAATATTCTTAATTAAGAAGGTGAAAGACTGATTATAAAATGTTGCTGCAAGAAATTAAAGAAGTCATCAGTACATAGAAAGATAGCTGTTGATGAATTGAAATACCTAAAATTGTTAAGATGTTAATCTTCCCCAAGGCAGTCTACAGTTTCATTGTAATTTATATCAAAATCCTAATGGTGCTTTGTGCAAAAGTAGAAAAGTTCTTGCTAAAATTCACATGGGGCTCTTAAAGGGCTCCCAAATAGTTAAAACAACCTGGGGAAAGGAAAAAAATGTTGAAAGTCTCTTATATCCTGATTTTAAAATATGTTACAGAGCAACTATAATAAAAGAATGTGGTACTGGCATAAATACACCAGTGGAATAGAAATAGAATTAAATAGAAATACAAGTACAGATAGAATAGCCAACATTAAACCCTTTTGTCTGTGGTCAGAGTATTTTTGACAAGGCTACCAAGACTTGTGTTAATCACCTTTCTACTACTATAACAATGTAACAAGGGCAGTTACTTTACAAAGACAAGGTTTACTTGGGCTCTTGGCTCTAGAGATCTCAGTTTATTATCAGGCAGACCCATCATTTTTAGGCCCCAAGAGGAAGGTACTGGATGGCAATAATAGGAAATACGTAGCAAAGCAAATGCTCATCTCTGGCCAGGAAATGAGAGAGAGAAGGGGGCCCACATTCCACAGCACCCTTTATGAGCATATCCTCAGTGACCTCAGAACCACCTGTTAAACTCTCCCTGCTAAACTGAGATGTCCGCCACTTTTAGTGCACTACCCTTGGGACCAAGCTTTTAAAACATGGGCTTTGGCACCATTCAACATTCAAGCCATAGCACCATTCGCTGGAGCAAAAAGTAGTGTTCTCAACCAGTTGTACTAATGAGACTAATATTTACTTGGAAAAAAAGGAAGTTTGACCCTTACTGTACTCTATATACATAAATTTCCTGAAGGGATCAAACATTTAAATGTAAGAACTAAAGCTATAAATTCTGGGGGGAGAAAAAACAGTACAGTAAGTCCCTGACTTAGGAACATTGAGCTGCAAACTTCACGTTTATAAGATTCACAGGTATACTGCCTAAGACTTTGTTGGATTACTAATGAATCTGATTTATAAACTCAGAATGGAGCTTGTCTGTAAGTTACTGTACAGCTTCGTGATTTGGGATTTGGCAATGAGATTTTTGGATAGACAGATAACAGGAGAAAAGATTGATAAATTAGACTACATTCCATTAAAGAAAATGTGGTACTATATTACACACAATAGGGTACTACTGTGCCACAGAAGATAAACTTGAGTGATGTGTAAGAAAATAGCTGTGCCTTGCAGCCATAATGTTAAGTGAAATAATTCAAGCCACAGCCTTAAATACTGCTTGGTTTCTCTTATGTGAGAAACACAGACTATAAATAGAGGTAACAGAAGAGATTAAAAAGTAGGGAGATAGATTTTGTACAAATGGGAAGAAGGAAGGGAAAACAGGTGAATAAAAGATTTATGATGTGTTAGGTACACATACTAACTTGTCACAAGGAGCATAATCATTAGGTGCTGCAAACTTGTACTAATAAAAAATTGTTAAAAACCTGTGGATCAGAGAACACTATCACAGTGAAAGACAGCCCATGGGATGAGAAAGAATATGTATCTTATGTCTAATGAGGGTTAATACCCTGAATATATAACAGACAACTCAACAGCAAGAGAAAAACAATCAAAACTGCAAACTTCTGAATAGAGGTTTCTTTCAACATATAAACACTTGAAAATTTGCTATCACCAATCATTAGAAAATGCAAATCAAACCAACAGTGAAATATCGCTTAGAATCCATTCCATGGCTATGCTCAAAACAAACACAGCAACAAATGTTAATAAGGATATAGAGAAATTGGAACTTCTTCTTTACATGCTGCTGGTAGGACTATACAACGGTACTATTTCCATGGAAAGTAGAATGGTAGCTCCTCAAAAGCCATTAATCGTAAGATGGCCATCTGATCCAGCACTTATACTTCCGGCTGTATGCCAAAGAAGTGGAATCACTTACTCAGACAGATACTGTATACCCATAGTTTACACTAGCCAGAAGGCAGAAGCAACCCAGTTGTCCATCAGAAGATGAGTGGAGAAACAAAAATGTAGTATTAGCATAGAAATTGTAATCAAAATATATAGTAAAATATTTAAATTTTAAACGTTTATTGTAGTAAAACACATACTGCCAATCCTCCCAAATACTTTCCTCAGGACTTTGTACTTGCCAGGTAGGTGCTATGTTGCTGAGCTATCTCCCTGGCCCTTTTCTCTCACTTTGAACACATTTATTTTATTCTGCCATTTTCTGAAATAGTTATGGAAGTACTCTTTTGTGCATATCTTTGTGAAGTATGTTAAAAATAGGGTGAACGCTGCTGCTGAGTGCTATCCAACAAAAAGGCAGGCTCATAAAAACATGTCTTCACTGGGAAAGCAGAAGGTATGTTTATTGACAACGAAGTAGAGATGTTCAAGTGTATAGTGTTAATTTTGAGCAGTATGGGAAATAAAGTGAAAGCATAATTTGGGTCAGATACTAAATTTAGGTGAGATGTTAGAAAATTGCAGAGTCTGAATTTTTATTTCATATAGAGTGAGAAGTTAGAGAATGACTGATAGAAAGTGTCTTAAGGATACCTATTAAGGGTAGTGTGTATAATTACTTGATAGAAAAGTGGAGGTAAAATATAATGATTAATCTTAACTGTCAGTTTGATTGGCTTGAGAGACACCTAGGAGATTAGTAAAGCCCACTTCTAGGTGTGTCTGGGTAGGTCATGTGGACATGACCTGGGGCACTGTGTCTGGCCCTGGCCCCTTTCTCTTAGTCTCTTTCCCTCTGTTTGCTTTCCCATTGCTATAGGATGAGCTGCTGTTCCCTCCCATGTCCTGCTACCATGATGTTTCTGCCTTAGAACCAGCTGATCATAGACTGAAACCCTGAGCCAGGATAAGCCCTTTCCCTAAGTTGTGTAGCTTTGTCCTAGCAACAGAAAACTGACCAATGCAGAGAGGATATTAGGTATGAGGGGCTGGGTTGTAATAAAATAGAAAATAGGAAGAATGCTTATAGGAGACATTAGAAAAGATTATTCACACTGGGCATGGTGGCAAGTGCCTATGATCCCAGCATTCTGGAGATTAAGGCAAGAAAATTGCAAGTTGAAGACCAGTCTGGGCAATTTAATGAGACCATGGCTCAGAATTAAAATTTTTAAAAAGAGTTATGAATACAGCTGAGTACAAAGTCGTAAACTCAATCCCCAGTACTGAAGGAAAGAAATAGAAATGGCAGAA